TGTCAGCTTGGTGAACGTGCTGTGACAGCCTGATGAAGCGTTGCACGTCACACTGAGTCGGATGATTTAAAAACTCCAGGTTTTACTGTAACGCCTCCAATGACACCCCGAGCTCTCAGCTCTGTGCAGAGCACTTCACAACTGTCAAACCAAGAAAACAAAAAGTCCAAATGAGGATCTATTCTTCAGGTAGGAGCAGGCGGCTCTGGCTGCCCGAAAGAGAAACTCCTCGTCCCCCGGGGTCCAGCTCTGGGACCGCTGCTGTTCATTTCACCTCCAATAACAGCAGGATGGAGCAGACAGGCGTCAGTTCAGAGTTTGTTTATCTCGGTTATAATAACAAGCACGCATGCTGTCTGTGCTGGGTGATCATGGCGCCTCAACGCCCTCCTCCCCTGCCACACGCTCGGGTCGGCATAATTTTTGCGTGCTGATATTCATATTCTTATCAGAATCAGAATCGTGTTTATATATACAGTTCAGCTGTTTAGGAGGGAGATGGCGAGGGGAAAGAAACTGATCCTGTGTCAGGTGGTCCTGGTCTGCAGGCTTCTGTACCATCTGCCAGAAGGCAGCAGGTCAAAGAGTGTGTCCAGGTGTGATGATTTTCTCTGCCCGTTTCCTGGTTAATTAGAAGTGCAGGTCCTGGATGGAGGGCGATTATTGATGGGGCGTTTCCAGTTCTCTGCTGTGCTGACTCACACTCAGGTGTAGAGCAGGTGTCCGTCCCAAATGTTCCTGATGAACCTGGAAAAACACTGAGATAACTTCCGACTGCAGATGTTGACGGTGTTCTTGTTCTCCACTTAATCTCTAATAACTGAAATCATTTACAGTGTTTCGTGGGAATGACAGCATTACTAACACGTTACTTTTTCAGTAACTAGTAATCTAACTAATTACTATTTCTATCGTTACAACGCCGTTACTGTTACTATCAAGAAAATGCAGACGTGTTACTGTTTGTCAACACACAGACGGGTGAAGCTGTCTTCAGCTTACTGGGAGCTGGGTTTAGTCATGGTAAACCAATCACATGACCATTTAACATTAAATAGGAACTAGACGCTATGTCAACCCAACCCAAGTGGTTACAAAAGACACACACCTGAGGCCTTGGCTACATTTTTAGGTAAATAGTTCCTCATAACTTTGTTGTTTAGAATTTGTGCATAAGTTTTCAAACTTTAGTAGGATGCACCTCCACCTGCGGGATCTGAAAACACTCACAGCCACATGTTTGGGCTCAGCTGGCTCAGACCGCAGAGCTTCAGGCACACACATTAGTTTTGTAGTTGGTTTGTAGGTCGGAGTAACTGGGCTATAAGCTCTAAAAGCAGCGCAGGTCAGTCTTAAGTGTGTCTGTCATCAGTGGGCGGAGTCCAGGTTGGGCTGAACTTTAACGTAAGGTGTTTGCGTTTAGGATTAACGCGTGATTTCACTAATCTGTGAATGTGACAAGTCAGAGCCGCTCTTTATATTCTCACCTTTCTTCTCACTTTCAGACACATGTCCAGCCACCTCCACCTTTTCTTCATCCACACTGCTGGACCTGTCTAACTCCACCCAAACCATCAGGAGTCCTGGGAACGCTGTCACGGAAAATCTGTCACCTCCAGATGTTTCCCCTGCAGTCACCCACCTATCCCCTTTAAATGGCACAGCTGCTTTTACCATGGACCAGTCAGTCGCCTCGGAGACCTCGTCAGGTGGAGGTGACTCCCTAGTCAGGACGGAGGTGGTCACGTCGTTGTACGAGTCATCGTCCTCCATCGCTAGAAACCAGTCCGAGTCGAGCGGAGATGGAGGCGTGACGCTGGGTTCCTCACGTGTGAGCACAGGTGGAGGAACAGACATCATAACTGAGCTACAACCCAAGGACGGATCCACACACCAAACATCTGCAGCACCCTCAGACAGCACCGCCTCAGCTGCACCCACCACCACTCCTCCACCGTCTGCATCCAGCACCAGCACATATAGACCACCCAGGTCTCACAGCCAGACCCCGCCCACAGACACAGACTACACCCTTCATCCATACATCTCAGAGAGTCTGACTCCAGGAGTATTATCAACAGCACCAACAGGTGATGCGGTCCCTGCAAGTAGCACCTCAGCTCCATCAGTCCCACAAACGAGTACAACAAACACCAGCACCACTGCTGCTGTAACCACACCCTCTACGAGCAGCATAACAGCGCCTGCTCCAACCACAGCCACCAAAACCACACCTCCTACAGCCACCAGTAGCACCACCCCTGTCACAAATGCAGAGACTACAGTCGCACCATCAATAACAACACCAGCAACTACACACACAACCATCCCTCTGCCAGCTACAACAGCCAGCTTGACACACACCATCCAACCCTCCACTCGTGCCTCCACTCCCGCTACAACTGCAGCAACCACAGCCACGAACCCGTCTCTAACCACAGCCGTCGATACCACACCTGCCACTGCCAGTACCACCACAACCACAGAGACTGCAGCCACACTATCCATAACAACACCAGCAACTACACCTACATCCATGGCACCATCTCATACCACAGTCACCAAAACCACACCACCCACCACTCCCAGTGATAGTTTCCCAGCTACAACTGCAGATAGTAGAACCACCATGAGATTCATAACAATCTCCGCTACAACCACTCCACCTACGACCGCAACAGCATCTCCCGCTACAACCACTCCACCTACGACCGCAACAGCATCTCCCGCTACAACCACCCCACCTACGACTGCAACAGCATCTCCCGCTACAACCACCCCACCTACGACTGCAACAGCATCTCCCGCTACAACCACCACCTACGACTGCAACAGCATCTCCCGCTACAACCACCCACCTACGACTGCAACAGCATCTCCCGCTACAACCACCACCTACGACTGCAACAGCATCTCCCGCTACAACCACTCCACCTACGACCTGCAACAGCATCTCCCGCTACAACCACCCACCTACGACTGCAACAGCATCTCCCGCTACAACCACCCACCTACGACTGCAACAGCATCTCCCGCTACAACCACTCCACCTACGACTGCAACAGCATCTCCCGCTACAACCACCCCACCTACGACTGCAACAGCATCTCCCGCTACAACCACCCCACCTACGACCGCAACAGCATCTCCCGCTACAACCACCCCACCTACGATCGCGACAGCATCTCCTGCTACAACCACCAAAACCACGGCAACCACCACTACCAGCCCCACAGCAACAAGCACCCCCGCTCCAGCAACAAGCATGCTTCACACTACTACGTCCAGAGTCACCTCCACCACACCTGTGAGTACCCCACCTCTTGTTTGATGCTGTTATTTTAGAGGACTTCAACATGCGAGTACGCCTGTCTTCATACCTGATTAAAATGGTGTTTAGACGTGTTCAGGATGTTGTGTTGTGTTTGGCGGTAGTTCACGCCGGTTAACTCCAGATCAGTTTTATTCTCCTTGATTTTGATCTTTGACTGTTTGCTGCTTGTATGAAGAAGCTCAGTGGGAAACCTGCCAGATGTTGGCAGAGGTTGGGTTTCCTGTGACTGGTGTGGTTCTGGTGCTCCGTGGGAGCGTTGCTTCCAGCTGAAGCAGATGGTTGGGTCTGTGGAGCTGGTGGAGAGCAAATTGAGAGCTCAAAGCCAGTACATACTGAGTGTATGAAAAGACGATCACACTCCTGTGTTACTATGGAAACACAGTATTAATAGTATTATTTTACTCTACCATGTTGACCTGGTAAAGCTCTCCAGACTCTTTTTTATTCTGAAAATCAAAGTCAAATGTAGTCAAGAGGTCGAGTCTCAGAACACGACTTCCGTGTTGAAATGAAGATCGTGGCTGCCCGAAGGCCTGACGATGAGTAACCTCAAAGTGTGTTTCCTGTTTACCGCTCACTGAGCGACTCCGTCCGTCACTAGAGTGAATCAGCCAGAGTAAATCAGCCAGAGTTTTGGCTGGCTGATTGGGACCCACACCCAGTTTCACACCTTGGCTCAGGCGATTAGAGGATCATCAGGGGTCCTTTTGTCCCTCTGTGGGGGGTTTCTCCCACTAGGTTTATATCTGGGACTCTCCACCATTTGACCTTAGAACTGAAGAAGCTTCTCGGATGAGAGGTGAAACGTCTTCAAGCAACTTAAAGAAGTCCAGACGCTTTTCTTTGCAAGCTCCTTTGATCAAGCAGTTCAGACACATTTTATCAGAGGCGATGAAGAAGCGTAGACTAATGAATGACTTAATCAGTGGTGGAAATAAAGAGGAGGTGCAGCCTCTGTGTGTGGTTTAAGGTCTGATTTTGCAGTGATGAAGATGAAGAAACGGTGTGCGTGCAACATAAAGCAGACTTTGATGCTGCTCATACATAAATAGAGCGAGCCTCTGGTGTGAGGCTGTTTCCTGATTGGATAACCCAACCCCAACAATAGCCTACTCTGATGGTAGCGATGGAGCTCAGTTTGATGCTAAAGGTTATGGAGAAAGTCCGAGGCGGGCAGGAAGGAAAGCAGGGCGGGGTGTGCAGAACGTGCCTCTGCTCGCTGAGGGAAAGTTTAAAGATCGATGGACCCAGAGCGAAAAGAGTCACACGGGTCCGGGATGCAGGAGAAAGAAGTTCCAGATCATTTCAGCCTCTGGAGCTGATGGAGGAAACCTCCAGCTCCTCTCTGGACCAAAGTACTTCAGCTGAAAGATGTCTGTAACTGACAGTGTGTCAGAGGAAGCGTGTTTCTTACCGAGCGGTCAGATTTAAATCAGGGATGCTCAGATGTGCCGCTACATGTTTGATTCTTGGATTCGTTTGGGGCGCAAAGACGGTGAGTTACCGGATCATTTATCTACATCCGCTTTCTGTTGTAAGCCAAAGACCAATAAGTAATACGGAGGCAACCTGACAATGGTCTGTGGTGACAGTGGGAAGGGAGAACTCCTTTTAGACAGGAAGAACCCTCCAACAGAATCAGGCTCAGGGCAAATACACAACAGAGTGCTTTGGGCCCTCACTCGTACTCTTTTCATTTCTTAGAGAGTGTAAGCACTACAGAAACAATAAAGTGCCTTATTTTCTGAGAGTGCGATGTTAATAGGGGAACTTTTTACCTCTGTGCAGGCATTTAAACACTCGTGTCACGAGTATGAACCCTTTGGTTTGATCCCAGGAGGAGACAACCTCCTCTGCATTTGCATTGCGAAGGCCATTTGTGTAAAAAAGACATCAGACACCAGGCCTTTGAGTTTCACAAACACCATTTGACCCTGACCCTTCTCTCTGTGACCTCCTGATGCAGGTCCAGACCTCAGAGGGTCCCCGATGCTCCGCAGACCTGAAGGAGATCAGCTCCAGCTCAGACTCCATCGCGGTGCAGGTAACGTCCGCCGGTCTGTCCTGTAACTTCAGTCTGTTCTGCATTCTGGACTCATGGTCCAGTCCTGCCCACTGCAAGTCTGATGGAGAGACCAGCAGCGCCACCATCTGTAATATAACGGGACTGCAACCCGGGACAGTGTATCAGCTGACAGCGGTTTCCAGGAAGGATGGCGAGATTAGCCACGGGACAGTTCAGACAGGTAGGAGCGCACCTGAAGAGTGAAGCTGCAGTTCAGAAGTTAGCACCTGAGTGCTCTGTGTAGCTATTTTAACTTTACCATCACATTACTTAGAACAAGCTCCGCCCCTTTCTCATGACACCCGTGTACGTGTGCTCCCCATCATGGATAAACCTCCTGCCATTATTGATTATTGATCATATTATGTTTTAGAGCGCGCCTGGTTTTTAAACTTCAAGCAATAAAATCAACATTTCTAAAAATAATACGGTTAAAATATTCAAACTTGTAACTTCCAAGATTCAATATCTCTGGACCTGCTTTACTAACACGTGCATGAAAACAAAAAAATCACCATCAGATTTAGGGAAACATGTTAGTAAATCAGACTGTGCTCACTGCCTGCGTACGGCCAGGTGAAGTTGAAGAGCGCTGCGATGATGTAAGAGAGAAACCTGCACTGCTAAGCCAAGAAAGAAGGAGAACGTCCGGCTGCAGAAACCTTTAAAACACTTTCCTAACTCCAAGGAAGAATCCAGATCAGGGACCGCTTTCCATGGGAGTGATGACTGTTTTAAATAACAGAGAGATAAATAAATCAGGCTGAAATAACGGGCTGCTGAATATTGTTTCCCCTCAAACAGCAACTGTGGCTCCACAATGTTTGGAGTGAAACGAGAAGCAGACAAGAAGAAAACGTGGAGACGAGGAGGACGTGATCTGTGAGAAGAAGAAGCATTTCGGTGCTTATAATGTTTTGGAAAACTTTAATTAGAGTCTAAAAGGCAATAATAATTATTAGCAGTCGTTTCAAAGACGTGTGCTTCCTTACGATGGACCGGCATCTGTGCACTGTTGGTAAATGAGGCCGATTAATGCTTTGCTTTAATGATTACAAGTGTTTTCCAAAAACATGCCTAAACTAACCCAAACCCTGACCTCCCCCCATCACTGAACTGATCCAGGACCTGCTGCAAACAAACGAAGGAAGTGGCTGAGAGCAGAGGAGGGTGAGGAGGGTGAGGACGGGATGTTTCTGGAAACAAACACTCAAGATGAGATGAAGACCATTGTTAGAGAGTGTTTCTGTGTTTATCAGGAACTTTCTGGAACGAGCAGCTGCCTCCGAGCTTTCTCTGGTTTTCTCTCAACATTGAAAATGTTCCTGCTCTGTTCATTTTCGTCCCAATTAATACGTTCACATCAGGACGGTGACTGTCAGACTGAAGGCTGGCCGTGAATCACATGGACACGTTTCCTCTGCTGCAGTTTGAAGACCACCGTTCAGGGTAAGGTGGAGTCAGGCGTTGCTTGCTGTGCCTCGGTCCAGTTGTCTCGTAAAAGTCACAGAATCATTTGGATCTTTACAAGTCTGTTGACGTTTCTGAAGCTTCGCAGCTCGTGCTGTGTGGGTCGGACATTTTGTCCTTGGGGTGTTGCCAGCCTTCCAACAGCAAGCAGGGAAGTCTGCTCAAACAGGAAGCCATCACGAAGAACAGGCCAGAGTTCAGGACCGGGGGGGTTGTCCTCATCATCCTGCCCCACCCAGCCTATTTTTTTCAGTTTCCTGTGTGGACTCATGCTGCCTCCGTGAAAACGCTCTCATTCTTTTAGCTGCTCGAACAAGCGTGTGGGCCTCTGCAGCAGCACAGTGTAACAATCACTGCGCCCACGACCACCAACCACATGGGGAATTCACCAAAGCCAGTAGAAGTTCACAATTCTAGATGCCAAAACATAAATATAAACCCGGTCATTAAAAAGGAGTGTTAAACCACTAACATGGTGGCAGGTCATGTTACATGTAGGGCGGTCACCAACAGACTGCACACTATGGAACAAAGCTGATGCTCAGCGGTGCTGACGACTAAACTGAAACTCAGACCCACCTGGATGCAGATGTTTTAGCTGCTTCTCTAAATTGGAAGTCTTTCCTCCTCTGGTTTACAGGATAGTAGTGTTGGCTTTGGGAAATCATTTACCATCTCTTGGTCATCCCTCTGAAACGCACAGTCTTCCCTAGCCGACTCTACCAGAGCTGTTGTGACAGCTGCACTAATCGCCAATTCACGTGTTGTTTTCGATGTTCTTTTGCTCCTTCTTCTTTTTCCTTTGCGTCTTTTTTCTGCAACTAATCCAAACCACAACCCCACCCATGATCCTCGACCACAACCTCCCAGTCCAACTCAAACTCCAAATCTGTCCCCAAACCCACCATAAACCTGTCCCCTTCCATGGTCTTCAACCCGCAATCCAAACTTGTACTCCTTTGAACTCAACCCAAATCTCAGTGCCCACCGCAGTCTGTACCAGAAACCCAACCCCAATCCAAACACTACCTCCAACCCTAACCTTAATCCCAGCCTGTCCCTAAACTCAGCCTAGACCTTTCTCCAAGCAGGAGCCACAGCCTGATCCAATCTAAAGTGTTTCTGAATGAACAGCAACAGATACACCAGAACCAAACCAAACCCCCTGAAATCTGCTGCTACAGTTCAGTGTCTTAGTTTTAAAAAACTTTGATTATCCAAATATTAATTAATGGAAAACAAAAGCGCTGTAAAATGTCATTTCAAAATAAAATGTCCTGTTTTCAGTGTGGGTATACACTGAGTGTCCTCTCCTGTTTCAGACCCAGTTGGCCCAGCTCATCTGGACCTCCAGCTGGGCCCAGCTCAACCTCATCATAAAAGCCTGTTTACGGTTCTAAGCAGCTCGGCTCTGACGGTGTCCTGGACTCGGCCTACCGGTCGTGTGGACTGGTACGATGTGACTCTGGAGGACACGAGCTCCGGATCCCGGCGCAGGACCAGAATCAAGGGCTCTGCAGCCTCCCAAACCAGGTTCACCTCCCTGATTCCCGGGACTCTGTACAAAGTCAGTGTGGTAGCTTCAGCTGGGAACAAGAGCGCTTCACCTGTCCACGCAATGACAGCTACAGGTGAGCTACAACACCTGCAGAATCTTCTCACGTTCAAGTTTTATTATTGTACAGGTAGCAACAGCACATCACTACCAGCAATGAAATTCTTACACTCAGAGGGATATGTTGCTCTGGAACATGATTAGAATGCACCTGATTGGCTGAGAGCTTATCACATGATCAATAATAATAAAAACATAGAGCTTTAAAAAGGAATAAAACTAAAACTGTTCCAGAGCAACTCATTCAGCGTGAAAGTGGTTTAAAAAGAAAAACAGTGACCATCACAATGGTGTCAATACCCTCTGATCTCTCCACCACCCCTCTCTCCCTGCCTCAGCTCCCTCCTCAGTGGACGGCCTGCAGGTGGCGTCCTCTTCCTCACACAGCCTCGGGGTGACTTGGTGGATCGGCTCGGGTCGCACGGAGAACCTCAGGGTTCTGCTGAGGGATCGGGCTGGTGTTCTGCTGAAGAACATCACTCTGAAGAACAGCAGCACCTCGGCAGAGCTGGATGGTCTGCACCCAGGGACCCCGTACACCATCACCGTGGTAACAGAAGCAGTCGGCCTTCAGAGCTCCGCCTCGACAGCATCCGTCACAGGTAGCGAAAGCACTGACCCGTGTTTGAATCTGAAGTAATCTGAGTACATGAGTGTTTCTAAAATACCAAAACACTCGATGGACGTGTGAACTGTGAATTTAGAGATTCGCCCTCATGTCCAGGTCTCTGAACCTTCATCCACTTTCTTCCTGCGTCTTAAAAAGCGGTTTGATGCTGTAGACGATGAAACAAAGATATGGAGTTAGCGGATTTCAGGTCAGGGACTCATCTGCAGAACAGATTCTACTTCACCATGCCATCTAAAAATACCCATAAACTGGGAAATACAAATAACCTGCATTAAAAACACTGAGCTCAAAGCTCACCTACATCTGAGTGTGGTTATCCCCAGAACACCTCCACAAACTCCTCCAATCATCAGCAGGGAGCAAAAGGCGTTCACCTGGAGAGACCCGACAAGCACGTGTTAGTAAAACAACACCCGCAGACAGATGTGAGCTACGATGTCTTCAGAGCTCCAATCAGCAGGAAGCTGCAGCAGGGATACAGGAAGTCACGGCTAAAATGAGCTTGAGGAGACAACCTTTCGTCTGTTTCTCAACCTTTCAACCACACATGGACGTAAAATGACGTCTTTTCAGAGTTCACGACTGACCAATCAGAATTAACCGTCTGAGGTCATCATTGCTGACCCTAACCCCACCCGCACTTTGCAGTATCGGGTTTGAGTCCCAAATATCTGTGGAGGCATCTACAATGTGAACATCGCTGCGTTTTATTTCTTATTCCGCAGAGTTTAACAGCGTCATTAAATATCTTTGTTGTTTACAGTCCACAACGTGACCTCGGTCATCTGTTTTTCTGGTTCAGACTTTAATGCGTTGAAGTGGCAGTGAATCCACTCAGCGAGGCTGCGTCCTGCTGTGTCATCTTAAATGAGTCACGTGTTTGTCGGACAGCCGACCAGCTGTGAGATTTGCAACCGATGGACTTTACCTCGGCGTTGTTAGCCTGTAAAATAGTTTCAAATATTTCTGTCAGCATGAAGTTAATGAAGTTGTCTTCATTCCTCTGAGCGTTCGAGTTTCGGCGTGAAGATAAAAACTGGATCTTCGTCGTCCTGCGGCTCTGTTTTTCTTTCCAGCAGCAGCGGCGTTTCCGGGATATTTCAGATCTTTCTCCCTCACGCCCTTTCTCTGTCTACAGATGCTCACCTCACCCAGCCTCTTCATCGCTTCAGTAAATCTGTTCACACGTGGCACAGACTCTCCACCCACACCACATTACATAAACGCCCATTAATCATTGTATTGAAACACTGGTTCGGTCTTGCTTTTATCATTTAAGAAATATTTCTAAATTGAGCCCCATAATAGCTCATACTGAACTGGAGATTGTTATTCATGCTTTTATTTCATCACGACTGGACTATTGCAATTCACTGTTTACATGTCTAAACAAGAGTTCCCTGGAGCGTCTGCAGACTGTCCAAAATGCTGCAGCAAGGCTTCTGACGAAAACATCGAAATACTCACATATAACACCGCTGCTTATACAGTTACACTGGCTACCTGTCGAATTCAGAGTCCACTTTAAGATTCTGGTTCTCACATTTAAGGCTCTTCAAGAACAAGCACCATCATACATCATTGAACTCTTACAGCCCTATGCCCCTAGTAGGTCTCTGAGGTCTTGTGGTCAGGGCCTACTTGTTATTAAGTATACGAGACTGAAAACTAGGGGTGATCGAGCTTTTGCTACTGTGGCCGCCAGACTGTGGAATTCTCTTCCTCAGAACTTAAGATCTGCTGATTCACTGATTACTTTTAAAAAACAGCTAAAAACACATCTTTTTAAAATTGCATTTTGTTAATTTTTGACTGTACTTCGTCTTTTTAATCTGTGTCTATACCTTGTAAAGCACTTTGTGATCTCTTATCTAGAAATGTGCTATATAAATAAAATTTTACTTTTTACTTTTTTACTGCTGCTGTTTCCAGGTGAACACATGAGACAGCTGGTAAAGTTCAGGTGAAACAGGAAGAAGAGGAGAAAACTGTACAAACATGAGTCTAACGTGGGTCCTCCTCCTTTTCTTCAGCCCCAGCACCAGTGTCACGTCTCGTCCTCCAAAACAACGGCAGCTCAGACCACCTGCGGGCCTCCTGGCTCCCACCTAAAGGAGGGGTGGAATCCTACCTGGTGACCCTGAGGGCTCCAGGATCCGACCCTCAGCTACGCCACCTTCTCCCCAACATCACCCAAGTGGAGTTTGAGGGCCTGACCCCTGGGCGTAGCTACGAGGTGTCAGTCAGTTCCTCAGCAGGCAGTCAGAGCACCGAGAGCAGGAGCACAGCGAGGACAGGTGAGTTCAGCTCAGAGAGCAGGTACAGAGGGAGTTACAGGTACATGCCGTCGCGTCAGGTGGAGGTGACCACAGACTCAGACGCCCTCTGCTGGGGGGTCTGTGTTGTTTTTATTGCTTTTAATTTCCCCGTCTGTCTTGTGCTGTTTCAGTACCTGACCAGGTGTCAGCGCTCTCTATGTCGGCTGATGCTCGAACACTGTGGCTCCGCTGGCTGCCCCCCAGAGGCGACTGGGAGAACTACAGCGTCATCCTGAAGAACGGCTCGTTGGTTCTGGCAAATGAGACCGTCAGTAAGGCAAGCAGGCAGCACGCCTTCTCCGTCCTCAGCCTGGTCCCCGGACGACTCTACAGTGCAGAGGTCACAGTTCACAGTGGCGTTCTGAGCAACACAGCACGCTGCAGCAGTCAGCTGGGTCAGTTCACTTGAAGTCTGAACTTCCAAAATGAGTCGGTATCAGTGTTGTTGACCCTACCCCTTCCTCTCTGCAGCGCCGTGGCCTGTGCAGCAGCTGCTCGTACGCCAGGCTGACGAAACCTCACTGAGCGTCCGGTGGAGTCGGCCGCTCGGACAATGGGACGGCTTCACCGTGCTCCTCAGGTGGGCAACCGCTGCTGCCACCATTGTAGATCAGAGAGTCCTCGGCTGGGAGGCCAAAGAGTGCACTTTCAACAGCATCACGCCTGGGGGCCAGTACATCATTACCGTGACAACCAACAGCGGTAACCTGAGCAGTTCCGCCTCTGTGACGGCACGGACCAGTACGTCACAGCGACGATGACGATGCCACGATTGTAGTATCAATGAAGCATTATTGTTGTTCCTGTTGTAATGTGTTTCCTTTCTCCACCCCCTCAGCTCCGGCTCAGGTCAGTGGGCTGCGGCTCTCCAACCTCGGCAGCACCGACAGTCTGCAGGCGCGGTGGGCACCGGCCTCCGGATATCTGGACTCCTACCAAGTCTTGCTGGTTCACGACAGCAGCGTCATCAAGAATGAGAGCGTGATGGCCAACATCAGCAGCCTCAGCTTCCAGGCCCTGAGACCGGGCGCCCTGTACCGCGTGGTGGTGACCACGGTCAGAGTGGGACACATCTCCAGACAGACGGTGTCCGAGGGACGCACAGGTAAGAAACGCCAGCAGTCGTTTCAGGAACAACACGAGGGTGGAGTCGAGCTGCAGCTTAAACAAAGTGCTCACGCTGTGGGAGATTTATCAGCATGAAGGCTGTACCAGTGAGTCACACCTGACAGCAATGAGAACAGCTCGTTTATTTCTGGTAACCCGGAATTAACCTGAGGAATTAAAACATAACCCAGCTAAACAAACTGTGCCAGTGTTGTCATTAACACTGCTAATTGTTAACAGCATTTATCAGTCATATAACTGGACAGAAGTTAATGCGCATCAAGTCTTTCAGAAATAAAAACAGGTGTATATGTGACATAATAATAGTATAATTGATCATAATAAGATCAATAATACCATTGATTATGTATTGACTCTGTGTATTTCAGACACATTCTTACTTTGTGTGCTTGTTGAACTGAGAGCAGGATATTAGTGAAAAGCAGGAATTTGTGAGGAATTTTCAGGAAGCGCTGATGACAGAGAGACTTCCCATCAGGGCAGAGCTTCATTGTTCTTCACCAGTGCCAGCAGCCGTTGTATAACTTGCAGAGGACTTTATGAAGATCACAGAACATACAGAGCGTGCAGAGTAGTCACGATTTCATCTTTGAAACGGATCAAAATAAACAGCAGGAAACATGCTCATCCGCTTTGATCCAGGTGGCTCGGAGAATGAATGTGTGAGTGGTTGTTACAAAAGAGAGTGCTGGTTTGAATGAGGCGCCTCTGGCAGAAGAGAGGCGCCGTGTAAGGATCAGTCGCTCACTTTGATGATATCAGGAGCGAGAGGTCATCTGCGTTTTAATTTTACTCTGAGATGTTTTTCTAAAGCTTCTGGGTTTGGAGCTCACAGTGTGCAGACATGGTAGAGCATTGCTACATCGCAGCATCATGATTCAGTGCTCCCCCCATGTGATCTCTGCATGCTCTCTGTGCTCCTGTCAGAGATCTCCACAGGTGCAAGTTTTGTTGAATAGAACAGAATATCTTACCTGTTGTTGTAACAAGTACAAAAAATATAAAGTGCAGTCCCTGCGGTGTCAAAAAGTTTAAATATAATTAGAAGAAGAATAAAAATGAGGTAGAACACATCATTCAATAGGGCTCTCTGCAGAACGCTGCAGCACGGGTTTTAACTGGTAAAAGAACATTTGGGCATATTACTCTGGTTCTGGCCTCCTTACACTGGCTTAAAATTGTACTGAGGATCTATTTCAATTTTTTTTACTGGTTTTTAAATCCTTAACTGCTCTGGCGCCTGTATATTTGCCCTACGTCCCCCCTCGTTCACTCAGCTGAGCAGCTGTTGCTCTGAGGCCCTAACGCTGAAACTTAGAGGAGATCAAGTGTCCTCTACTGTGGCCCCGAAGCTTTGGGATGATCTTCCTCTTCACATCAGGCAGTCTACCTCAGTGGTGGTCTTTAAATCCAGGTTAAAAACTCATTTTTATTCACTGGTCTTAAACTGACACTGTTATCAGTCTTTGTTCTGATGCTCCAGCAGTGGGAACAGCCGTCCCCACGAGTTTGAAGATATTTTTGAGACTCAAAATGTGCTTTTAGTGTCACAGTTAGGTTATGGTTAGGGTAATCTAAGGTACGAAAACGAGTGTGCTTGTGTGTTTACTCTGACTCCGCCCTCTTCCTACCCCCTCAGTGCCGGCGGCAGTGAGCGATATCAGGGTCAGCAACAATGGGCGCATGGACTTCCTCAGCGTGTCTTGGAGTCAGGCTGTAGGTGAGGTGGACAGATACCTGGTGACCCTGAGTGACCGGGAGAGGACCATTCACACCCTCACCGTGCCCAAGTCGACCCCGACATGCGTTTTCGACTCGCTGGTGTCTGGACGCCTCTACAACATCTCCATCACTACCTGCAGCGGTCTCTACAAAAATCAGACGTTCATCCAGGAGAGGACACGTATGTACACCACTCACAGCATCGACCAGTCAGAATTTTAAACCATGTTGCAGTAAAGTCGGCACTTTAGAACAATTCATTCAGTTTGTAAGTGTTAAACAGCAAAAATGATACCAACACGTGCTTGTCCAGGTCTATACACACCTGGCTCTGTACCTGCTGTAGCCTTTTTGCACAAAACACCGTAAACTCCGGTATCATCAGTCTTGTCTGATTATCCTCCATCAGAGCCGTCGAAGGTCCAGAGCCCCACAGCGACCCACAATGCTTCGGACAGCTACCTGAAGGTGTACTGGCGTCACGCTGCTGGAGACTTCGACCTGTATCAGGTGTTCATCAAGCACAACAACGTCTTCCTGCAAAACAAGACAGTTCCAAAGATGGAGCACAACTGTGTGTTCACCGGCCTGGTGCCCGGCAGACTCTACACAGTGCTAGTGACCACGTGGAGCGGAAAGTACGAAGCCATTGCCTCCACCCATGGCAGCACCTGTGAGTGACCTTTGACCTCAGTCGGGCTCATTAGGAACATGAATGCTGCATCATTCAGCGAGTAAACTAGATGATACATGTCAGGATGCAGTCGAGCTCAGCAGGCGATAGATCGATCGGTGAGAAGGAAAGAAAAACTGTATTTGTTGCCAGATCTGCTGCTGCTCCTCCTCTTTGAGGGACGCTAGCTGAGATGTTTCGGTCCATCTGGGAGGAGACCCCAGACATGCTATGTCCCTCAGCTGGACTTGAAACACCTCTGTGTCCCACGAGAACAGTAGGGGACCGGACATTTTTGATGATGGGTGGATGGATGATGGGTGGATGGATGGATACATGAATACTTGTTTATATCACGTTCATATGTTTTGCTTGTTACAACATAATAAGATGTGGGAATAAAGCACCAAGTTTCAGATCTGAACCAGGAGGAACAAAGAAACATGTCTCGGTCGTTGTGTCCTTGGGCAAGACGCTTCACCTGTTGCCTACTGGTGGTCAGAGGGCCCGGTGGCGCCAGTGTCTGGCAGCCTCGCCTCTGTCACTGCGCCCCAGGGTGGCTGTGGCTACAATGTAGCTGCCATCACCAGTGTGTGACTGTGTGGATGACAGGTTGTGTAAAGCGCTTTGGGGTCCTTAGGGACTAGCAAAGCGCTATATAAATACAGCCATTTATCAGCAGATGTTCTTGTCTCTCAGTATCTCTGCAGGAGTTTTGATATGCTTAAACAGCAGCAACGTCCTTGTTCATTTCACATTCAAAACAAAGCAAATCGGCTCTCTGAGGCTCCTGGAGACTAACTGTGGGTCATGTCATGTCCATCCTTCAGTCCCGGCGGCAGTGCGTTCCCTGACTCTGGCTGGGCGGGGCACCGAGGACCTGCGGGTGACGTGGATGGCAGCTCCGGGTGACGTGGATCACTACGAAGTGCAGCTGCTGTTCAGCGACATGAAGGTGTTTCCTCCCATCACTCTGGGCAGCGGTGTGAGGGATTGCGTCCTGTCATCACTCACACCTGGGCGGCTTTACAAGATCATAGTTTCCACGTACAGCGGCACCAATCAGAAGGCCTGGTACATAGAGGGTCGCACAGGTCAGAGGTCACAGAGGTCTGCTGCCTCTAAACATCACACCACATAATCCAGCACTCCATGTTCAAAAAGGAAAATCTTGGTAATTTACAGTTTACAAAACATCCTGAAAATCTGTTACGGCTTATTTGTAGAGTCCTGCACTTTGCTGTCAGGTGGGCAATGTCTGTGAAGATGTTTGTGAAGTTTCTCAGTCAGCCAGGTCAGTCTAAGGAGCTTGGAAAGAAAAGCGTTGGGAATTGTTTAAGATTAGTGAAGATGTTTCATCTGAGAAGCTTCTCCAGTTCTAAGAGAGTCCCAGATTTTTAAGCCCTATTGTGAGTGTCCCTAAGAGGGTCATGATGTGGGTGACTCACACCTTGGGTCATTTGATCACATGATAGGGTGGGGCAAGGTCTCACAATGGGTTCACCCCAAATCCACACCCGTTTTCACATGTTGGCTCATGAGGTTAGGCAGAGGAGGGGGTCCACGACCCTCGCTTTTCTTTCCAAGCTCCTTAGACTCACGTACACAACATATCAGGGAAGTTAAATGCCTCCTGGTGGCGCTGCAGTTTCTCAGCAGTTGCTCTGGGAACAGTATCTCTACATCTAAATCAGCAGCAGCAGGTAGCTACAATTAACCAGATTACCACTGAGACTTATTACCACCATTATTACCATCATCATTAAACCTTGACGTAAAGAGCAAAAATGCTGTAGATCAAAAGCTCTTTGTCATCTTTCAGTTCCCAGTAAAGTGAAGAACATCCACGTTAGCAACAGTGGAGACAGCAGCAGTCTGATGGTGAGCTGGACTCCTGGTTCGGGCGATGTAGACGGATTCTCCGTGTTTCTGTACAGAGAAAGCCGAAAGTTAAGTACCCGAAGCGTCCTCAAGCACCAGAACGAGGTGACGTTCGGCTCCCTGCAGCCCGGCCAGGTGTACACCATCATGGTTCAGTCTGTGAGTGGAGACCTGGTGAACAACAACACGGTCACAGGGCGCACAGGTTAGAGGACACACCTCTGTACAGTGAATATACACCATGCTGTCGTACAGATTAGCTGGTCCTTACTGCGCTCTGCATCATCCCTGTGTTCCTCAGTCCCCTCTGCAGTGACAGGGCTCCAGGTGGACTCCCACCACACCACCTGTAGTATCCAGGTGAGCTGGCAGGAGGCTCTGGGTGTGGCTGATGGATATGTCCTCCAAGTTCTGGACGACAGAGGCAGCATGGTGAGAAACGTCTCTCAGCCCTTTGGACACACCTGGCAGCAGTTTGACGGCCTCACACCAGGAAAGAAGTATCGAGTGGTGGTCCAGACCACCAGCGGCGGGGTCCACAGTGTTGGGGTCAGCACTGAGGCTCGGACAAGTAAGACTTCCTGTTTCTCACTTTGAATGTGATGGAGGAAAACCTGATGTTTTATACAGTGGGATGCAAAAGTTTGGGCAGCCTTGTTAATAGTCATTATTTTCCTGTATAAATCGTTGGTTGTTACAATAAAAAGTGTCAGTTAAATATATCACATAGGAGATACACACAGTGATATTTGAGAAGTGAAATTAAGTTTATTGGATTTACAGAAAGTGTGCAATAATTGTACCGCGGCCCGGTACCAGTCCGGTACCGGGCCGCGAGAGTTGAGGCTCAGTTGTGAAATGTCTGGTTTTCAGGGTTTTTATCGGTTTTCAGCGTTATTTTGTTATCGTTTTTATCGTTTACTCGGTTTTCCTGGGTCTTTTAACGTGTGTTATGAATAAATCTTCTTTTTTTCGGTACCAATACTAGTTTTATTTTGTTGTATTTATCCGCGACACCTTAAAGGCCGGTCCGTGAAAATATTGTCGGGCATAAACCGGTCCGTGGCGCAAAAAAGGTTGGGGACCGCTGCCTTAGACTATTTAGTTGGAACAATACTGAGAAAGAAGATGAATAACTCACCAGGTTCTGGTGGTTTGACCTAAAATCGATTTACAGTGATGTGTGAGAAACTCTTGATTTCTCTCCTCAAGTACACAGTATGATTGATGAAATTTAGTGAAAGTTAAAAGCTTCCCTCGTCCCTTCTCCTGTAGACCCAGCGGTGGTCACCAATCTGGCCGTCACTGCAAACACCACCACCAGCCTGTCCTTCCACTGGTCGCCACCAGAGGGAGACTTTCAGCTGTATGAAGTTTTTCTGTATGATCGTAATGACCAGCTGCACGAGAAAAAGCGCGTCCAGTCCAACAGTCAGCAGTGTACTTTTCAGGGCCTCAGACCTGGTGCTCCTTACAAGATGTTGATCCAGATCCACAGTGGAGACCAGACCAACCAGACCTCCATCTACACCAGAACAGGTGAGACCAGCTGGTCCTCCAGAGTACACGGTCCTTGACTGGAAATAAAATGTAAAGGATATTATGCCTTCTGTACCCGAAGAGTGGACTTGCAGATTGTATCAGTGATCGTGTTTCTCTTCAGTCCCGTCAGCTGCAGCGTTCCTGAAAGCTAAGAGTGGAAACCAGTCTGACAGTCTTTGGGTAAACTGGGAGCATGGTGGAGGTGATCTAAGTGGATACCAGCTGTATCTCTACAACCCCAACGGTTCTCAGCAGGCCATGCATCAGCTGGGCTCAGAGGCCACAGGGTTCATCTTCTCAGGCCTTGTAGCGGGTCGCCTGTATCGAGCTGAGGTGCTGAGCCAGAGCGGCGGGCTCAGCAACAGGGCGAGCACCCTGGGCCGGACGGGTAAGATGCAGCTTCTGTTAGAGCTCAGATCACCTCAGTATTCCTTGATATTCAGTCAGCAGTTTCAGTGGTTTAGCAAAAGGCATTTTTCCAGTTTTATCAGTGCAGCACACACTCGCAACATAAAGTAACAAGAGACATTTTAAAACATAAAGTCTAGAAACACGAGGAGCAGAACAGAAGAAATCCTAATTTTAAGCAGAGACACACGAATTGGAATAGTTTCTGATCAGCAACAAATCCTGTCCCTCCTCAGCTCCCAGACCACCTGCCTCCATCTTGTTCAGGGGGGTGACCAACACCTCCCTGGAGATCACATGGAGCGGCCCTGTGGACTCCGACTATGATGACTTTGACCTGCAGTGGACTCCTCGGGACCGGCTGTCCATCATCAATCCGTACCACACCCGGACGTCCAGCAACCGCATCCTGAGGGGGATGTTCCCTGGACGGCTCTACAACTTCAGCCTCCGCACCGTCAGTGGGACCACAGAGCCTGGGGCCACACCTACCTATAGCACACCTATCCGCAAAAGCATCCGCACCAGTAGGTGGCAGCACTTTATGTCAATTCTGATGTGAATTGTCATGTGGTTTCACTCCATTACTTTCGTCTACAGAGCCAGAGAGAGTCCACAGCCTCCACTGTCGCCCTCAGAGTTCCACCTCCATCTCCTGCTCCTGGGTAACCCCGGACACTGATTATGACTCCTACACCATCGAGTGTCTCCACAAGGATTCCCACACACTGATGTACTCCAGACTCGCTGAGCAGGACTCCAACAGCTACATCATCACTGAGCTGGAGCCTCACAAACACTACACAGTCTCTGTGAAGGTCATGTCTGGTGGGAAGCCCAGCGACGAGGCTCAGGACGACGTGGTCACCATGCTTGACCGTAAGAGCGAGTGGAAGTTAACATGTCCTCAGCATGACGGAGGGTGTTTAACATGCTGTCCTCCTGTTGACTCTTGAAGGTCCTCCTGTGCCCCCCTCCGGTACCCGGGTCAGTGAGCAGTCTGCTGTGGTCACCAAGTCCTCCATCTCCTTCCAGTTTAACTGCAGCTGGTTCAGTGACGTTAATGGAGCTGTTAAGTACTTCACTGTAGTGGTGACTGAGTCTGAAGGTGAGCAGCATCCACATAAGGCCAGTTTACTGGAATTATTCTAATTGGATGATCCTCCTGAAAAGAATCTGTAGTAACTCCTCTTGGATCTCCTTCCTGTTGTTCTGGTCACCTGACTTCACTTGGTGGTATCGGCCTTAAATTGTGTGTTCTGTCATTTTTTTCACCATTCCCTCATACCTCTTCTTTTGGGATAAATAATGGATAATGGGATGGATTATGGAATTATGGATGGTAATGAAATAATAAGGAGTGCATGTTGACATTAATAATACACAAATGAATAGATGGATAACGGAAACAATAATGGATGGACAGATAATAGGATGCAATAATCTAATCCTGAATCTTCTGGTTTGTTTTTGAAGATGTTAGCCTAATGCAGCTGGAGCAGAAGCACCCACTGCCCTCCTACCTGGACTACAGCTCCAACAGCTCCATCAGGTCCTACCAGACCAGCTATTTCCCCAGCCGATGCACCGAGAGCCCTGACAGCACCACCCAGAGCTTTAACATCAGCTTGGGGACTGGGATGGACTTGCTAGGGGGCACCTGTGATGCCAGAGGCTCAGACCAGGACCCAGAGTCTAGTGGAGAGCTGAACCACTTCTGTGATGGACCCCTGAAGCCAAAGACTGCCTACAGGTACTGAAAAATCCTCTGCATGAATGTCAGGTACTTGACTCCGTGTCCACTTCCTCCAAACTGCAGCACTCCAGGGCGGTAGACTGACCAGAAACCTGGAGCCTTAATGGTTTGTTAGAACCAGCTCATCATCTCTGAAACTTTCAGCCCTGTAGACTTTTTGCTCCAGCGTTACCTCTAAGGTCAGGCGTTGCGTGAATAACCTTAGGGGCATCTGTGTTTGTCTCCAGGATCAGCGTCCGAGCTTTCACTCAGCTGTTTGATGATGATGCAAAGGACTTGAGTGTCTTGTCTCCACTGTTCTCTGACACCTGCCTATCGCAGCCCATCATCACTGAGGCTGGTGAGAACAAACCTTAGCTCGATTAAAATACACCCGAGGTCAAGCTGGGACGAGCAGGTGCAGGTGAAAAATTCAGAAAAGTATCACAGTTGTGTTTCCTCCTGCAGAGCCTCTGAGCGGTGTCATCGAAGGTGTAAGTGCTGGACTCTTCCTCGCTGCTGTGATTGTGGGAATCACTGCTCTGTTTGTCTGCAGGCACAGAACTCGCAAAGTGTGAGTATCAGAGGATGCACCTGTCTGTAAGGTACACCTGCTTATCTTTGTTTAGGTTAAACGGTGCTGCTGTGTTTCCACCAGTGAGGAAGAGAGGCTGGAGGTCAGGATAAATATGAGGAGAGAGAGAGCAGCAGCGGGGAACCAGCTGGGTGTCAGAGGGTAAGTAATCAATAATCAATAATGTTCAGGGATGTTTGCACAGTGACTCACCTTTCATAACACTCTATACAACACATTTGAAATGAAACAGTAAGAGTGCAAACTCTCACCACTGTTGATATGAAATAAAATCATTAGAGTCTTTTACCCAGAAAGTTGATCCTGTTCATCTGGACGTCTTCAGTGGGAGAAATGTTTCATTATCATCAGGTGACTTCTCAAATCAAATCAAATCAAATCACTTTTATTGTCACATCACATGTGCAGGTACATTGGTACAGCACATGTGATGTGAAATTCTTGTGTGCGAGCTTCACAAGCAACAGAGTTGTGCAAAATACAATAATGTAAACAAGCAAAATACAAGAATGGCTACATCTGAAACTAATAAATATATGTACAATATATAATAGTATATGCATTTCTGGATGTGTATACTAAATATTTTTCTACGTGTGTGTGTGTGTGTGTGTGTGTGTGTGTGTGTGTGTGTGGTTGTGTACACATATTTTACAAATTAAATAGAGTAAACAATAAATAAAATATATAAAAATATACAGAGTTGAGACATGTGCAAAACAGTGGCATTACTGTACAGTATGGAGTGCATAATGTTAAAGTTCCAGTAGTGAAGCTGAGGTGTCTATGACGTGTTCAGCAGTCTGATGGCCTGGTGGAAGAAGCTGTCTCTCAGTCTGCTGGTACGGGACCGGATGCTGCAGAACCTCCTTCCTGATGGAAGCAGTCTGAACAGTTTATGGCTGGGGTGACTGGAGTCCTTGATGATCCTCCCCGCTTTCCTCAGGCACCGCTTCCTTCCTTCTTTAGTCCCAGCTGACTGCAGGTATCAACCTTATAAGCACCTGCACAATGACTGAGTCTAGCACCACTGGTGACCAATGGGCTGTGAGGTCAGTTTATGATCATTAATATGGAAAATGTCACGATCACCGATCTGTGATCATTGATCGATGGCCATGAGTCTCACAGCATTGTAAGATGGTGACCCTTAGGCCCCCTCCTCAATTCAGAGATGGTCTCCACAGGTCTTTTGGAAGGACGATAGTTTCAGTCACTGTGCAAATGTCCTGTTCATAAGGTTGAAACCTGCAGTCAGCTGAGATTGAAGAAGTCACCTGGACGATGACGAAACGTTTCTCCCACTGAAGATGTCCAGATAAACAGAATCATCCATCCATCCATCCATTCGCTTCCGCTTATCCTTTTCAGGGTCGCGGGGGGCGCTGGAGCCTATCCCAGCTGTCATAGGGCGAAAGGCGGGGTACACCCTGGACAGGTCGCCAGTCTGTCGCAGGGCCAACACACAGGGACAGACAACCATTCACTCACATTCACACCTAGTGGCAATTTGGATTATCCAATTAACCTATCCCCACAAGCTGCATGTCTTTGGACGGTGGGAGGAAGCCGGAGTACCCGGAGAGAACCCACGCAAACACGGGGAGAACATGCAAACTCCACACAGAAAGACCTGATGGTGGAATTGAACTCAGGACCTTCTTGCTGTGCGGCAACAGTGCTAACCACCGTGCCACCGTGCTGCCTAAACAGAATCGGCTTTCTGGAATTCCCTTACCTGCATGATACACTGATGGACATGCATGTCCTCTAAAATCCACCAGGGGGTGCTGCAGCACCTTCAGCTCCCTTACCTGCTGAAGGTATCACAGGCAGCATCAGAACTGAACTGATACTACAGTCAGAGTACTGTTTTGCCTTTGTTTCTGCGGACATGTGATTGCATTGTGACAGATTGTTTTCCTTCAGAGGAGGTTCTGATTAATGCATGTAGTACTGCATGTAGTACTGCATGTAGTACTGCATGTGTGTACAGATGAAAATGCATCATTAGGTTTAAACTCTGAGGTCTCTCTCTCTCTCTCTCTGCCTTTTGCTCCTCAGCAGCCGTCGAATCTCCAGGTCTGTAATCCCGTTCACACTGCTTCAGGTTCATCTTTGACCTTTTGTGAATTTTTCTGGTTTTAAATGTTTTCTTTTCTCCTGCAGTCCCATTAAGATGGTGAACTTTGAGTCTCACTACAGCAAACTACAGGCTGACTCCAACTACCTGATGTCAGAGGAGTATGAGGTCAGCAATCAATAAAACTAATTTGTTCCTCTTTGAAAGACCCCAGCTTCAGCATATCACATCCCCCAAGAATAAAAAACTTGTGGCAACATTGAGGATTGTGAAGGATGTTAGATCCAGGGTTTATCCTGTCTGTTTTCACTATTTTGACGTTTAAGAGTGTTCAGAGTGGGCCTTTGTTTGTGTTGTGAATCGCTTTTATTTTCTCCCTATCAGGATCTGAAGGACGTCGGTCGTAACCAGCCTCTGGACTCGGCTCTGCTGCCGGAGAACCGGGGAAAGAACCGATACAATAACATCCTGCCCTGTGAGTCAAGAGCCCACAGACACAATAAGAGATCACCGGGTTGTAGAAGGTCTGGGTCTAACTGCCTTTCTCGTATTCAGACGACTCGACGAGGGTCAAGCTGTCCTACGTTGATGACGACCCCTGCTCTGACTACATCAATGCCAGTTACATCCCAGTAAGTCAGTACAGACTTGACATGCACCACACTGGAGACTCATTCAAAGTGCAGTAAAGAGTGAAAACATAAAAACATGCAGTGCATCTTAGTTTTTACTCAGGTGAGTAGGGCCACCTAATAGCTTCTCCTTCATCGTTACTTCATTTCGCAGCTTGCCAGTCGGTGTTTTTTGGTGACCATACAATGATTGCAACACAAACACACCTGGCTTAGTTAGGACAGGGTTTAATTTTGGTTGGATGTGAAGAAGTCCATTGCAAAGACTGATCTCGATAAAGACTCATTTAGAAGTTAAGAGCAGGATGGGTGAAGACGAGATGATGAAGCTGGTCTCTGAAACCTGAGACAAAGACGATAAAGTGTTTACCGAGGTTAGAGAGCGTGTGAGCAGTAGCATCATTTTCTCATAGACTCCTATGAGTCAGTCACAGGGGTTGTCCGAATTTCGGGGGGTTCACGCTCTCTGTTTTCAGGGTAACAGCTTCCGGCGGGAGTACATCGCCACACAGGGTCCTCTGCCTGGAACTAAAGACGACTTCTGGAAGATGGTTTGGGAGCAGAATGTCCACAATGTGGTGATGGTCACTCAGTGTGTGGAGAAAGGAAGGGTGGGTAGCACAGAGGCAATGATTACAGAAACCATCTTCACAAACTCATCAGCCTGAAACAGTGAGGTTTTCCTCCTTTTCCTCCATCCAGGTGAAATGTGATCACTACTGGCCGTTCGATCAGGATCCTCTGTACTACGGAGACCTGATCGTCCAGATGCTGTCAGAATCGGTTCTACCTGAGTGGACGATCAGAGAGTTTAACATCTACAGCGTACGTTTCACTGACAGCTGTCATCTTTGTTACAGAACCGGTTTGAGTGCGAAAGACGGCTCGAACGCTTGTTTCGTTTTATTCTTGAGAAACAAGAAAATGATCCCACCTCAGTTTAATGTGACTGTGCGTTGCAGGAGGAGCAGCTCGGCTTCAGCCGCCTGGTTCGTCAGTTTCACTACACGGTGTGGCCGGACCACGGTGTCCCAGAGACCACTCAGTCCCTCATCCAGTTTGTCCGTACTGTCCGTGACTACGTCAACAGGACTTCGGGATCTGGAGCCACTGTAGTCCACTGCAGGTACCTCATTGTGCCCTTAAAATATCAGCCTCTTCAGAGTGACGAACCACTGAATTCCTAGAATCTCAAACTGTGTGAAGCACCACATGGTCAGATGAGAAGTAATTATAGCTAAACCAACAGAAACCTCATAGTCTGAGAACCCTTATGTTTTTCACCAGTATAACACGCTAATTTGTGTTTGTGGACTAATGTGGACCATCCTGCTCATTAGCTGTGGTCAGTATACGACGTGTTTTTTGACTGGACTTTGGTCTTTTTGTCAGCGCCGGTGTGGGCCGGACGGGGACTTTCATTGTCCTGGATCGAGTGCTGCAGCAACTGGACGCCAAAGACACGGTGGATATCTACAGCGCCGTGTTTGACCTGCGACTCCATCGATCCCACATGGTGCAGACTGAGGTAGGACCAATGCTTCATGGGGGCAAACGTTTGTATGCTGTTATGTGGCATGTATCTCTGCACTTTTAATCGACTCTTCCTCTTCTGTGTGTCAGCCATATTTGTAGTTTGAAAATTGTTTAATCTGGTATGATGACTGAAGTTTCACATTTGGGATTTCAGCACTGAAACTGCTGCTGAGAACCTGAATGAGTTCAGACTTATTATTTACATACTTCGATTTGTTTTCATGTCTGATGCTATGAGATGGTCCAGAGATGTCCTCTGCTAGAGTTTAGAGAGCTTTCCTGAACTGAGCAAATGTAAATATTAAATATATCAACGGAACCCAAGATCTCCTGTTTACAAGACGGGTTTTTTTCAGTTTGTCCTGACTGGCTAATCTGTGTTTCTAAAACTGGTCCTGACAAACACCTGAAGGCACTCAGTCACAGGTGACTAAAATAATCCCCCAGGCTGAAATGATAGACTCCTGTAATAATCCCATAATTTCTGCTGTCAGACTGAAAATGATATTTTGTAATCTGAGCTCAGGTGTGACTCACCTGCCACCTCTCCACAGGTGCAGTATGCATACCTGCATCAGTGTGTCAGAGACGTTCTCAGAGCCAGGAAGCTACGCAGCGAGCAGGAGGGAATGTACAGGATGTGAGGCGGTGAGTCATTGATAACCTTCATATTATTGATCCTACATATCAGATTACCACCCTCAGATTATGAACACATTATTGACAGATTATTGGTCCTTTTTACGGGGTTGCTGTAGCTCAGGTGGCAGAGCAGATCAGCCACTTACCAGAAGGTCGGTGGTTCAATCCCAGGCTGCTCCAGTCTGCATGCCAAATATCCTTGGGCAAGATACTGACCCCAAGTTGCTCTCCGATGCATCCATCGGAGTGTGAATGTGTGTGAATGTTAGATACTCAGCACTTAAACTTAGAAGAAGTGCCTGTGTGAATGGGTGTGATTGGGTGAATGAATTAGCTGTGTAAAGCGCTTTGAGTGCTCAGACAGAGAACAAAAGCACTATAACCAGTCTGTTTACCATTTAACAGACGTGGAGCCTCAGATTAACATCAGGTTATTGACGGGTTATTGAGAAGTTATTGACGGCTTATTGAGCCGTTATTGACAGGTTAATGACAGATTATTGATGGGTTATTGACAGGTTATTTACAGGCTACAGATGGGTTATTGACAGCTTATAGAGAAGTTATTGACAGGTTACTGACAGGTTACTGACAGGCTATTGACAGCTCATTGACAGGTTATTGACAGGTTAATGACGGCTTATTGAGAAGTTATTGACAGGCTAGTGACAGATTATTGATGGGTTATTGACATCTTATTTATAGATTATTGACAGGTTGTTGCCGTTTTATGACGATTATTGACGGGTTATTGATGGCTTATTGACAGATTATTAACAGGTTACTGACAGATTATTGAAGGATTATTGACAGGTTACTGACGGCTTATTGATGGGTTATTGGTCCTTTCCACAGACGCTGACCCTGACCGTAACGATTGTACTGACTGCTGAGCCATTGCTGAGCTCTTCAGAGAGACATGTCCATATATTTTTCTACAGTGTTCGTATGTCACAGAGAAATGTTTATAACTTTAATTTGTTTTAATTTATGTTCAGCTGTGTGGTGTCTTTCTGTATAGATTATCTATAGATTATTGGTTGTATCATCTCCTATGTGTTTGATTTGCTGGAATATTGGCTCCAGTTTCTTGGTTGAGTTTCTGTTGTCCTGTTTATAGCTCTGTCACAGGTGCTCATACCTGTAAGTTTACCTGTGCTTGTACCTGTAAGTGTACCTGTGCTCGTCTGTATGTGAGCAGCTTATTAAACACACAACACAAAATTATCAGCTCTCTAATTATTCATCCAGAAACTCTATGATAATCTGAGCAGGATTATTTCAGTACAACTGAACTCTGAGCGCAAGAAAAAAAAGAACATAAAGCTTCTAAAACAAAAGATGTTTTTCACTATGAATTATGGGACGAAATCGTCTCCTCTCCTGCTTCAGTGCTTCCTAAAGGAGATCCTATCCGGTCTTTAACTGATGATCTGATAAATCCTGCTTCCGGGTCCAAACTACTCTGCGTTTAATAAGTCTGTTGTGTT